GTGTCCTGATATAATCTGACAGGATCAAAAAACATCACTAACTTCCATCCGTTGGTGCCCTGAAAGTCGCCACAGCATGTACTCGATGTTTCTAAATGCGGGACATTCAGCTCTAGAAACAGGAAACCAGGTTAGATACTGAATGGCGTCCAAACAAAGAAACGCAAAACACTTTCAGCTGAATCAAAGCTAAATATAAGATCGGCTAACAGATTTCTCACTTACTATACTATCGATACAGAGAATTCTCATTCTGGCATGACTCGCGTGCTGAAGCAGTGCATGCTGTGCGAAAAGCAGTAGAAGGATCTATAAGCCAAAGATGGTAAAAGTATGACGACAAAGCCGAGAGCACTACGTTTAAGGACCGCTAGTATTCTGAAATGAATGCACGCACTTCAGGAATCTGTTGGGCTAGACCAGTCTCCTTTTTGCGGTCGACTTTCTGAACAGGGTACAGCATCGTTGTGTGAAACACACTGCGGGGTGGGGGGGATCGTCAGTAATTCGTATTAATTTGTTTCGTTATATGGCACCCTGTATCACCGCCGGATACACGTTGCACAAGTTATTGTATACCCCCCCCCAAAGAGTCGGTCGAGCTGGAGTCGTACCAAACGGGAAAAACAAGGGGGGGGGGGAGGGTCCGTGGCGTGGACCGCGCAATTCGAATGGGGGGGGGGTCGTAACTCACACGCACCGACATTTCGCTCTGTCCTATGCTGTACCCTGTTTCTGAAGCAGCCTTGCCGCCCCTTTTCCTTCACAAGGAGTCTGTTCTGGACATGATGGCATGGACTTGCTTAGCCTCAGGGAAGATCCGACTTCTGCTCAGAATTTTCAGCGTATTCATGACTAGTCTTCTTTGGCCTCAACTGCATCTCTGCCATCAATCTTAAAAGCACATTCCGCGAAAAACTAAGGTTATTGTAGAGGCTGTACTACATCTGGGAAATGAGAATTTGCAAGAAGTTCTGTGAGAGCTAGACAGTGAGCACCTCTTAGGTCCATGCCAACCCCCCAGTGGCTACTATTTACCAGATAGTAGCCCTTTAATGGAGAAGCGCTGATGTCGTAATGGTAACGACAAGTGAGACTTTGTACAAACATGCCTTATCTTCACCGTGTGAACGTACAAGCTGGCATCGGCAGGGGCTCCTACGTAGGGCATTCCGGGAGGGTTTTTTTCTGCTTTTTTTCACTGTTCAGTTACTTAGTACCCTATAGATCGTTTTTGAGCTTTATTGCCCTTCAAATAGGATCGCGGGCTTTGCCTTTAAGCAGTAATCATTGGACAGGGCACGTCCTTCCGTTTGAGAAAGATTTTGCAAACAACGACTTCCTTGAAATTCCCTCCTCTGGTACGGTACTCCCCGGTTCTCCCGATTCCCCCTTTTTTTCTGGAGTTTCCTTTTTCTATGAAGGAAGGAGGTGTGTATAGTGCGAAACTAAGAAATGAAAAAAACGACAAGCGAAAACGTTTTTCCCAATGGCGAATGCGACCCCTTCCTTCTGTCTAGCGGACAAATACGAACCTCTTGCTGAGCAACCCCAACCTACCACGTCCCAGCTGTTGAAAGTCATAAAAGTCCTTACTAGGTCATTACAACAGTAACAAGTGTACTACACCAAAAAAAGTCATTTCGAGCATGTCGAGATTAGACAGCTATTAGGGTTAGTTCAACGTGTTGCAATCTCAAAACCAAGGAGACCGCTGTCCAACTGGGAAACGAACATACAAAAAAAAGCAAAATACCTAAAAAGTAAATGGTCTCGAAAACTTACCAGCTTACTCATCTCTGCAGTGAACAGTACCTAACCTAATCGAATGAAAGTAATCGTGTATGCCTTGATGCGAGAGGATCAGACGGGCGACTCTAACTGATTGAATGCTACAAAAACTCGAATACCCTTAGTAGTCGCAGTAATCGGCTACTGGTTTGAGTAATTGGCTAGTAACCCCCCGCAGAGTATCTCGACGTCTCGACCTTGGTCATTTCCACTATGTAATGGGATTTTCGCTGAGAAACTTGTATTAATAATTGCTGCAAATCGAAAACTGTTGTCTGTACGTCATAGGGGGACATTAGTTCCAATGCACTCAATACTAGGTTTACATATTCTGAGCACTTCATATGAACTCTGCCCAGACCAAGAAACCATTCATATTCTAGATCACAAATTCCGTCCACTCCAGAAGTTTCAGGGACTATCTTCATAATGAGCCCGCACCATTGCACCTACTGCAGGACCTGCCCAGCCGCCTGCTCTGTTATACCTCATGCAAAGCGGGGTTTGTTCTGAAGTATAGAGTAGCAGCCATCACGGCAGGTCATGCATTGGGTTGAGGATCTCCAGCAGTAGGGGTCGTATGTGGTCGCCGGTGTGTTGGTTGTTGTAGATACCCTCGATAAAATGTTTTCTGTTCTTGACTTTTGAATGAAATAAGGCAGACACAGCTGTTATTGGGTGAGCGTGGGTGGTGCTCGCTATGAAAATCCATAACCTGCCATGTCAGAGTTTGGAGACCGGAGAAAAACTGACAAGAAAGAGAAACTTCAATGAGAGTGGTGAGCATCAAGTGTCCTAGGACCCTCTTACAGTGAGCGGAGCCTCCCTGAATCCCAGTGTACTAGTATCAAGAATTTGTAAATTGTGGACACATGACACGACAGTGATGCAACGGCAGTGGGCGGGGCATGCGCCAATATGGGCGGTCCAAGGTCCAAACTTCATAACTCGGTTTCAAGCAGCCTCGCTTTCAAGGACTAGGAACAGGCGAGGTGAAAACTACTGGAGTCTGACAGTAAATCCACCTTTACCATATAAACTTCAAGTCTTTATCTTCAGTTTTCAAGCAGAGGGCCAAGAACATGCTTAGAGCACCGGGCTGCTCGCCGGCTGACGCCAGCGCTCCTCCTCTTCTGGCACGTCTTGGCTTTGTTTCACACTCCTTCTTTTAGGAGTTGAAGTCCGTGGTCAGTGTCAAACACATGTCTCATCTGTACACTTGATCAGTGCTCTTTAGCACCATGAGATGGAAGATAAGAGTGTTGAAAAAAAATAGGTGCGATAGTATGCAATAAGGACCATTGATTGATCCAACTTACAGATGAGAGGTATCTTGACAGAAAGTTTTGGCTCTTTGAAAGAAGCGCGTGACGAAGCCAGCCCTTGTCACAGGAGCGCTGCAATCATATGGCGACCTGACCGATATGTGTATGACGCAGAAGGTGCGGCATTGCGTACAGACGAACTCTATATAGGAAAAACCCAATTCTCTTGCTTTGAGGTACTCGTAATACACTTATATTGGCATTCCTTACGAAATTTGCACTGTTCCTTCGAGTTGAAAATTCGAAGTTTACCTGATTATTATGGACTGATGCCCATATATGGTCTGTCTTTGTGGCTACACACTTAGTATTTCATGTTTTCTTGCTGTGCTATGATTGTGTGGGTTGAAGACGCTTAACCCTCGCTCAACACCCTCTTTCCATCCCACGTGACTGTACTGACTGAAAGGCTCCAGCTGCGTTCGGGAGAATCTATGAGAACGAATCAGTTCATGAGATTGGGGAGTGACAACCTCTACACCTGTAGCCCAACTAAGGGCAACTTTTCAACATATGCGTCAGACAT